ACACACAGCCTCTTCCCAATATGCGTTTTTGCAATTTACATATATGCAAAAACGCATAAAAATGAGAGGTCGCACATGGGCAGGAGATATGCCCACAAAGTTTCAGCCCTCTATTTTTCGAGGTTCTCGTAATAATTTTATCCGGCAGAACTTTTACGAGTGCGCACATGTTACTCACAGGTCCGCAGAGGCTGAATTTAAATTTGCGGGGTCACAAGTGGGTTGGGAACATTCCCCTAAATTTTCAGCTTTCTAGTTTTTGTGGTTCACGAGTTGAAAGTTTCAGACAAACTGCTGCAGACACACACAGACACAAACATACAGACAACTCTCTGACAATATATATTTTGTACAGCTATTGTATGGCACAAAACATATAAAAATGGAGTTACTGTGAAGACATTTTTTATGTTGAGGCTGAAAAAAAAAAGCGTGAATTTTACACCTGATTGAAAAGAATGTATCGGTGGACTTAAAACTATCTGTTTATGGCACCGGATCGAAAACTGACCTGCTACTCCTCCGGCTGTAATGACACGTGCTCCTTCATCGACAATGTTCCATAATTTGACAACCACATCCGCAAGGGGGTCCAACTTGCGCCTTCTCGACATGAGTTGCCCATCATCCCCATCTAGAATATTCCTCAGATGGCTCGCAGCCGCCCTAACTGCCTCTACTCGATTTGGCTGTTCACGAAGCGCCGAATCAATGTTTCCATTCATTTCCTGGAAAGCTTTTGAAAACGGTAGATAAAATTTATAGTGCTGTTGCTACAGCATATGAAAGACAATACAACTTGCTGTCTCTGTGAGGACGCTAACAGCAGGAAAACACCCGCATAATGGAGAGCTTCATGGAAATCAAGAACCTTACCGTATTCGCCACTTTTGAATGGAGTGACACTGTGGCAGCGATTGCTACCAGCAATCAATCGCTGGCAAGGTTATCGAAACAACATTTCCGGTCATTAGACTGGTTCCGACTCCTCCCTGCTCCGATTAGTCTGTTTTGTGCATTCTAGGAGTTGACTGGTATCAAAAACGATATAAAACGGCTGGAAAACCGTGTATCCCAAAACGAAGTACGTTTAGAAGACACAGTTCGCGCAGTAGAAGCTAACGAACGTGTGCAACGATCGTTAAGCTTACGTGTTTATGGGTTTGATTACACACACTGCAAAATCCCAAGAGCCGACGATCAGGATAACTTTGATGTTATTAGCGCAGCCGATCTTCTTCGAAAGCTAATGGTGGAAGGTTAGTAAATCGTTAGGTTTCACTCTGATCTTTTCCTA